TCTGTACAAATGCTTCTTGCTAAACCAGGACCCACATTCACAAAAAACCTATTAAACTTCTCAACTACATCCTCAAATCTGTTGACCGGTGTATCATTGTCCATAAAATATTGAGGGTAGTTACTCCTGCTGGTACTGTTTCTAATCAATACACCATACACACAGTCAAGATATCCAGGGCCTGAAGCTGCAAAGCAAGCCCAAAACATCAGTGAACCTCGACCATGTTTGACTGTAGGGACCGTGTTCTTTTCTTTGAAGGTCTTGTTTCATTCTCTGAAAACAGTAGAATGATGTGCTCAATCACAAAGTTCTATTTTAGTTTCATCTGTCCACAGGACATTCTCCCAGGACTGTGGCTTCCTCATGTAAGTTTTGACAAACTCCAATCTGGTTTTTTTATGTCTGTCAGCAGTGGGCCCCCTTGGTCTCCAACCATAGCATCCCTTGTCATTCAGATGGCGATGGATATGACACTGTTGCACTCTGTGCCTGCAGGTCGGCTTGAATTTGTTTGGAAGTTGATCAAGGTTCTTTATCCACCATTGCAACAATCCCTTGTTGCAATCTGTCATCTACCTTTCTCTTTCATCCACGTCCAGGGAGATTAGCTACAGCGCCATGGGCTGTAAACTTCTTGACAATGTTGCATACAGTGGACACAGGACCAGCCACATCTCTGGAGATGGACTTGGAGCCTTGAGACTGTCCAGGCATTTCCACTATTGTGGTTCTCAAATCCTCAGACAACACTTAACTCTTCTTTCTTTTCTCCATGCTCAGTGTGGTCCACACGACACAAAGGTTGAGTCCACTTTTCTCCATTTTAAATGTCTGCAAGTGTGATTTCTATATTGCCAGCAGCTGTTGGTTGCTACAGGTGCGTTTCATTACAAATTAAAGGAGCATCACATGCTGGAAAGACAACTATTTCTGATGATTCTGAAAAGGTATCAGTAATTGTGTCCTATCCATTTTTGGAGTTCTGTGTGGAATGGATCAGATTTGGCTTTTTTCCATTGTTCCAATGCAGACAAAATAAACAAACATGAGAATACCAAAGAATCTGTGATTGCAACAATTTTCTGGGAGAAGTGGTGTGTTATCTGAGAGAAATGCAGGTGTGCCAATATTTTTGTCCATGGCTGTATATCTCCCACACGCTTCTTTCTATTAAACCCGAGACTTGGTACTGGTCCTAACAAACAAAAACAGTCCAAATTTGCGAACACTTACTGTCTGGACTATAATATACACCACCTTAAATCTTACTTATGAAGCCTTACACACACACACACCACTTAAACTAAGGCATTAGTGGAATTTCCAAACTCACCGGATCGTTTGAAACGGTGTCCAATGCTTCGGGACCAGCCTATATTATGGATGAGAGGGCTGTACATGTGGCACCAGAAGTCATCTGATCCATCCTGGCTCTCCTCATAAACCAGCCTGAGGCGACCTCCAATTACCTGCTCCACCAGTGCCACCCGTGTCCGGCACAGGTAATTTTTATCCACCACCTCTACCCTCATCAGCTTCTTAAAGGGGAACTGCATGTTCTCATGTACCTACAGAGAAACATGATACATAGATTTAACAAAGGCAAAACCAGAGGATAGAAAATTTTCACTGACTGTTCATAGTCACAGTGCTTTTGAGAGGAGTTTCACATCCAACAAGAATTGTTAGGCAGTAGCATATATTATACAGAATTAAGGAAAGTATGATTTTTTTCCTTAACACGTGCCTTACCTTGTCATTAAAGTCAGGTGGCAGTGTTTTAGCTCCAGTGAGACGCTTCACAAGAAAGACTTTCCAGTTAGAGTACTTATGCTGTATGCCTGTAAATGAAGTTATAAAAATAATACCAACAATAAGACATCCCAGAACAGACAGGCATACATCAACAAGACTGTGAAAAGGTTTAGCATAAGGCTCACTTTTTGGAGGTACAAGAGGTTTGCCACTGGAAGCACACCATCCCACTGGATGAACCTCAGGGATACAGAGATTGCACCAGAAGTCCTTACTGCTGTCGTTGTCAAAGCCCTCATACCGCAGGTGAGCCTTGAACCCTGTTGAACATAAGACACAACAGAGATGACAGTTCATTCTTGAAACTGAAAATGCTTACATGCATGTTCTAGACTTTAAATAACAGATGAAATTTGCTTTATATGTTTTAAACTGTAGATTTCACTCACTGTGAAGCAAAACTTTATGCAGACATGGACATGAAATCTGAAGTGTGCTCAAAATCACGAAATGTTTATGCATCTACGGCCCATAACAAAATCATGAGCAAACTTCATCTGCTGATGAAGACCATAACGTGTGGCTGAAAGGTCCAGAGCAAGCCAAGAGGTGGACCTTGAGTGAAGATTTTGTTTTACTCTTTGACAGAGAATTGTTTTAGATAAATACAGACATGCGTTGCAAAGTGACAAGATAAAAACAATCTCAACTTTTCAGAATGCAGCAAGCACACCGCAGGTCATGTGACAAGAACCAATCAATCAGTTTCACCTTTTCTGAAACATCCTGTTCAAAGCTTAGTCAAGATGGAAGATGGCAGTGCACCCAAACCCAGTGTTTTTTTTTCCTCTTGTTGTCCACAAATAAATCTAGTGGCAGAGCTACTGTAAGGGATTTTTGGTGCTGGAAATCTATTTATATCCTGCAGCTTCCTTGTCTTTATAAGGAAGGTTGCTTAGCAATGGCAGCCAACACCCCCCCCACCCCCAGTCCTTTAGAAAGAAAAGTGGCATGGCTGGTGTTTTCCCACAGGTTTTTAGATGTGATAAGTGAACAGCCTCTTGGTACTTCCAGTCAGCGAGCAGTTGCCACCACCTGAACTGTTTTCAATGTAAGCACAAAGCTGTGCTGCACCACATTGCCACTGATTCACAATAGAGAACACCACGTTGCCAGCCACAGTAGCAACAGCTCACTTGGCAAAAGCAACTTCACTTTGATGCAAAATGTGATATTCATAAAAGTAACTGTAATACCTTTCACATAACCAAGGACAGTTTATATAGAGAAGCATACAAAAAAATACATGCTGTTTTAGACTGGTGTAGCTACACAGGAAAATAATAATGTTATATAGTAATGTTACACAGCATAACGTCATGTTGGTAACATCTGAATGGCTACACAGGGTCAACTTTCATCATCAACATGTTGTGTCATGATATGATCCCATAAGATAATTTGCAAAATGTTACAAAGTCATAGTCCCTTGAGGCGGTGGGTAGAGCAGTCGTCTCCCAACCAGAAGGTTGAAGGTTCAAATCTCGGTGCCTGCAGTCCACATGTCGAAGTGTCCTTGGGCAAGATATTGAACCCCCAAAATGCCCGTATGCTGCGTGCAGCCATCATGTGTCTCCGCATATACACGCAGTGGCCCGGGGGCCCTCAGCTCCTAACAAAATTTCATTGTGTGTGTCACAATGTTACAGTGACAATAAAATAAAGCTTCTTCTTCTAATAAAACTCCCTCTTTGTGTTTCTGTGGATATAGTTTCCCTGCCACTTTGCAGTGGTGGGGTATGTGCTTTTAGAAAAAGTCTTACCTGCTAGCTTAATGATTTCTGCTATCCAGTACACCTTAGTTGAGAGACTGGTATCAGAGTTGAGCACTTCTATCCTAACACCTTCTTCTACATCTCCCCAGCATGTCCCCATAGGGGCCTGAAGCAGAGAGGAAGCAGTGGGGTAATTCAGTCATGAAAGAGACATTTGATTCAATTCAGCTTTATCTGTATAGTGCCAATTCACAACAAAACTCATCTCAGGACACTTTACATAGCAAGGTCTAGATCTTATGGTATTATAAAAAAAAAACAATAAATTTTAGTGGTTGCTGTCCATTGAACTCTAGGTTTTACTTACATGCTTAAAACAGCTGACTGGGGCTCCAACTGTGTTATTGCTACAGATATACCGACCCCAGTCAAATGTCTCTGGGGGAACCACTGACAGAAACAAGAAACAATGTAAAGTTGGACTACATGTAAACAGAGAAGTACTGTTACCCCACTAACCGTCATGACTGGTTTTTGATAACATACCAGCTTTTGATTTGGCCTGGTTCTGTTGACTTGCTTGGTACTGGGCGTAAGCTGCTAACTTTGCCATAAGAGGCTGCTTCTGTAAGACTTTCGCCTTTTTTGTAGGTGGTTTGCCCTTTCAAAATGAAAGCAGGAATCAACATTTATGTAATTATATACTAATCTTAAATTAATGTGTTATAAGTAGGCTTATAGTGCATTTACCTGGAGCCTTGCCAAGATGCTAGCTTTTTTGGAATTTGAGGAATAACTCCTAGAACACGATACACTGCAGAAGCGCTTGGTTTTAGAGTAAAAAGCATCTCGTACTCCAACCATCCCACACATCTCACAGGTGGCTGTGAGAAGAAACCACAAAACAATTACAAGACCTGTCGAAATGCTCAGACTGCTACATGCTGACATCTTTTTACTTAATCACAGAATTACATTACAGAAACCCATGTAAAACATAAGCTCATGACATATTCCATGTACTGACCCATTCCAGCCTTGCCATCAGGATAGGTGTAGACTTGACCATTGTTCTTGATGATGGGCAGGCTGGTAGGAATAGAGGGCACCACCTCATCCTCGCTGTCCTCTGAACTGGAGCTGCTTGTGGACTCCTCGCTGCAGCTGTCATAGCCATCAAACATTCCGAACGAATCTCTCCGCTTACGCTCTGAACGTGGGGTGCGTTCAGCCTTCATAGTCAAGACCATGTTAAAATACAGTGGGTACGGAAAGTATTCAGACCCCCTTAAATTTTTCACTCTTTGTTATATTGCAGCCATATGCTAAAATCATTTAAGTTCATTTTTTCCTCATTAATGTACACACAGCACCCCATATTGACAGAAAAACACAGAATTTTTGACATTTTTGCAGATTTATTAAAAAAAAAAAAACTGAAATATCACATGGTCATAAGTATTCAGACCCTTTGCTCAGTATTTAGTAGAAGCACCCTTTTGAGCTAATACAGCCATGAGTCTTTTTGGGAATGATGCAACAAGTTTTTCACACCTGCATTTGGGGATCCTCTGCCATTCCTCCTTGCAGATCCTCTCCAGTTCTGTCAGGTTGGATGGTAAACATTGGTGGACAGCCATTTTCAGGTCTCTCCAGAGATGCTCAATTGGGTTTAAGTCAGGGCTCTGGCTGGGCCATTCAAGAACAGTCACAGAGTTGTTGTGAAGCCACTCCTTCGTTATTTTAGCTGTGTGCTTAGGGTCATTGTCTTGTTGGAAGGTGAACCTTCGGCCCAGTCTGAGGTCCTGAGCACTCTGGAGAAGGTTTTCGTCCAGGATATCCCTGTACTTGGCCGCATTCATCCTTCCCTCGATTGCAACCAGTCGTCCTGTCCCTGCAGCACCCCCATAGCATGATGCTGCCACCACCATGCTTCACTGTTGGGACTGTATTGGACAGGTGATGAGCAGTGCCTGGTTTTCTCCACACATACCGCTTAGAATTAAGGCCAAAAAGTTCTATCTTGGTCTCATCAGACCAGAGAATCTTATTTCTCACCATCTTGGAGTCCTTCAGGTGTTTTTTAGCAAACTCCATGCAGACTTTCATGGGTCTTGCACTGAGGAGAGGCTTCCGTCGGGCCACTCTGCCATAAAGCCCCGACTGGTGGAGGGCTGCAGTGATGGTTGACTTTCTACAACTTTCTCCCATCTCCCGACTGCATCTCTGGAGCTCAGCCACAGTCATCTTTGGGTTCTTCTGTACCTCTCTCACCAAGGCTCTTCTCCCCCGATAGCTCAGTTTGGCCAGACGGCCAGCCCTAGGAAGGGTTCTGGGGTGCTTCTACTAAATACTGAGCAAAGGGGCTGAATACTTATGACCATGTGATATTTCAGTTTTTCTTTTTTAATAAATCTGCAAAAATGTCACAAATTCTGTGTTTTTCTGTCAATATGGGGTGCTGTGTGTACATTAATGAGGGAAAAAATGAACTTAAATGATTTTAGCATATGGCTGCAATATAACAAAGAGTGAAAAATTTAAGGAGGTCTGAATACTTTCCATACCCACTGTATATTGGGGTCTGAATTAATGAAATACTTCAATAAGAACAATTATCTTCCTTAACAATTAACATTATGATCATTTTCTGAAGTAATCAATTAACTGCTTACCCTAAAAACAGCATAAAATACTGAAAACATTAATCACAATTTCCCAAATTGTAAAATATAATAAAGTGACAAGTGTATTGTGTTTGAGTCCAAAGCCCAGATATTCAACTTACTATCAAAGAAGACCCAGAAAACCAGCATATACATTCACCGGCCTCTTTATTAGGTACACCTGTACAATTGTATGCACTTCAATGCAACAATTCTGCCTTAACATCTAACACAAATATGTTTATACAGCTCAAAATGTTTCAGTTTTTGGGGAAATTGTCATAAATATATATATTCAATTATATGCTCATTACTGATCATATAAATGTATGATCAATACATTTATATGTATTTATATTTAAATGTAAATAACTGTAATGGACTACATACATTACTACATTCTATTCAGAGGTGTCTATATTTCTGTCCTCCCCAGCTACATATAATAGAGGGTCAGAATATTATGTAGTGCAGTACACCACCACCTTTAACTATGACCTCAACAATAAGCATATAACTGAATTTATACACTGATGACAATTTCACCAAAAACTGAAACATCTTGAGCTTCATAAACACAAGGGTTAAAGCGGAAGTACTGCACTGAAGTTCATACGACTGTACAAGTGTACCTAATAAAGTGTCCCGTCGGTCCATTTGCATATGACAAACACTGCGATTTGTGCTTTAAAATTGCTTAAGAAATTAATCAATTTCAAAATTTGTAAATATTGATCAATTATCTAATCGTGCTCGCATCAGAATACCCTAAGAATATCATTTCTTAATTGTAGAATTAAAAGTATTACACAATGCGAGATTTCCTATATGGTATTTTACAGTTGTTTTTTTTAACTAACACATGCTTTGGATTATGACCTGCTAAGCTGGCTGTGGAGGTCAATTAGAAATTGTAATGGGTTAAATGCCAGGAAAAGCTATATCCGAATCTGAAGATGCAATAGGCCTTGCTTGTTAGTTTTACAGGATCCCGAACAGTGTTAAAATGGTCATGAAAAACTGTTTACTATTTTCAGAGCCCGTCGACTTCCTCATTTAAGCATCACAGGTGACTAACATTATTTAGCCAGCAAGAATGCTGCAATAAAAATGTACCAGCCACCAAAGATATCGCATGCAAATATTTAAGATGTAACGTTACAGCACAGAAAAACTAATATAAAAGCTAAAATAAGGGGCCTTATTAGAAATAGCTCCTGATGCTAACTCACGTTAGCACAGCTAATTAACGGAAACCAGTTTTGTTTTCACTAAAGTATACCAGACTTTTCATTTAATGAAACACACACTTATACATATGCATTTAAAATAACTATGAGATCGTTTTATTTCTACGTCTGGGATTTTGGGGAGCTTTCTAGCATTTAACACTGGCGGAACAACTAGCTAGCTCCGATAAACATAACAAAGGAGGGGCGCTAACCTAAGCAAATCCTCTGAAATCGGAGGCTCGCGGCCCTAAAATGCTTCAAATTCACTCACCGAATCCCTTGCGTCTTCCATCAGCCCTTCATTCAGATAATGCTCTAGTTAGCTGTGCTGCGCAATGTAAATAAACCCATACGTTAGGGATAAAATCGACGTTGTAACACCAAAGTGAAAATGAATACTACTAAGCAAGGTATCAACAAATTACTCTGCTACTTCTGCGCATGTGCAAACGTAACCTATTTCTATGTGATTGGTCAATCCAGAATGGAGGCCATCGACCGATACAGAAACAAAACAGTACATTTTGCCATGGAACTGAATGAATGGCATCTCCAGTTTCACAATAGAAACAGAACAGAATAAAACAATATCCATATCATTTCTTGTGTCAAAACAACACTAATAAGAATGGAGGGAATAACTAGTAGGGCTGGATCGTATTTCTGTAGAACATCTTAAGTATGCTAGTTTGAGGTTGGCTCCTCTCTTAGCTATGTGTTTTATGTCTTGTGTTATGCATGGGTTTTTGCCTGACTCTGATGACAGTGCTTTTAGTGCCTGTGGTGGAGGATAAAGCAGGAAAGATGGGCAGCTCTGATCATTACAGACCTATTGCACTTGCTAATACACTTTCTAAAGTTATTGAGGCAATTCTTTTGAGTAGGTTTTGCAATCTTATTGGCTCCACTGAGAACCAATTTGGGTTTAAATCCAATCATGGCACTGATATGTGTATATTTGCACTAAAAGAATTAGTTAGTAAATATAAAAATATTAATTCCACTGTATTTATGTGTTTTTTACATGCCTCTAAGGCCTTCAATCGGGTGAATCATAGGAAATTATTTCAGAAATTGTGTAATGCCCGTGTGCCTAAATGTATAGTGAGATGTTTGTCTTATTGGTATGCCTACCAGTCTATGCTTGTTAAATGGGATAATTGTATATCTGATCCTTTTCAGACCAGTAACAGGATAAGGCAAGGTAGTTTGCTGTCCCCAATTTTATTTAACTTTTATATGAATGATCTCTCAAAAAAGTTAAATATGTGTAGAACAGGTTGTATGGTTGGATGTGTGGTTGTTGTAGTGAATCAAATAT